TTTCCACCGAACACAAAATTGGGCCAATTTTTGGTGGTAGTCTTATCCCGGGGGGCTCGCTATTCAATATTTCTTGACGGGTAGGTGCTGCATTTACGGGGGTATTTTGAGGACTTGGTAGCACAAGTGTGGGAATTTATGAAAGAGTTTCAGCATGTGGGTATTTGCGAGGACTTTGTGTGTGGGAAATACCAGGTAAATTTGGTAGTTAAAGTCCCTGCCCCGTCCCGTATGAAAGTCCCATAATTTTTCACACGATGTTAGCAATGATTTTTTGCTAACCTCCGTGCTAAACTACAGTTGCAGGGGCGTACGGTGAAAAATCTAAGGGGGAGGGTCGAAACGAAAGCGCAGGGGGCAAGCTGAACTCGGAGCAATTTAGCGAAGCTTTCAGAATTCGCGGGGTGCGTTATTTGTGAGTGAAGCGAGCATATTTAAAGGGCACTTTCCTTAAAAGGGGGTCGACCGCACCCATCGACCCACCCCCACGGTACACCCCTGAGTTGATACATAGCCATGAACAGAGGGATCCTGAACAAACATAACCGCGGTATTATTCGCCATCGGAATCCCCTTTTTAATCAAATGGCAATATTTTTGCATGTATGTCTAATTCAGAGCCAATTTGATATTTCTTCCTGAGAATATTTGTAAAAGTCATGTCCTGGGCTTTTGCTCAAGAATAGACTGGTGCATAATATCAGGCATGAAATAAATGGTGGGATTTTACCCGAGGTGGTCTTATACCTGAGGAATTACGGTTTTAGAATTACATACCGAGATTGAGATATGATAATAGTGACATTGTACATGAAATTAAATTTTTGACATGATGGAAAATTTCATCTAGATTACAATAACGTGCCTGTAAATTTATTGTAAAATGTGCTATTCTGGTCTTGTATTGTATGCTAAATTTATGTGGTCTGGTAGTCATGAAAACGGATCATACCTGTACAGTACCAGATGACAAATGTCCTAAATTTTTATAGGATGTAAAATATTGTTTACATAGTAGTAGTAGACCATTTATGTTCAATTCTCATACGGATATAGAGTTGTATTTTATTCATAATTTAAAACAGAAACGCAATAAGATTTTAGTATTTCAGTTTGGTGCAAGTACAGTAATGCAACAAGTTAGTTTGGTAATGAAACAAAAGTCAACATAAACAAAACTTAGGAACCTGGAATAATTTCAACATTATTATTATTATACGGAAATTTAAAAAAAAAAAGATTGTGAAACGGGCTGATCCAGAATTTTTGAAACGAGGGACCACCAATTTCATAGCCCTAAATGTAATATACAGTAATTGTACAGATAAACATGTATCCAATAATGAGTAAGATTCGAGTTCAGTATATTCTGTTACAAAATTTAGTAACTAACAAATGTAATTTTTCATCTTTTTCTGTTAAAAAACAAGAAACGTCAGTGGCAAACTCGGGGGTTTGAAAGTGGCGTGATAATGAAGATGAAAAAATATATTTAAATTGTACCAATGAAGGACCCCTTTTACGGTTCTAATTAACACTATTTGACACATTCCTGATTTTAACATCCTACTAGTGTTACACTAGACAGTCTTCCAATTTAAGTGTCAATTGAAGCAAAAGGAGTAAAGAATTGCACTACCGGTAATTAAACTTAAAGGTGCAGTAGCCTTTGATTTGCTAGTAAATTGAACATCAGTGTACAGTTGCCATTGACTTGCTGTTTTTGATACATAGGAAATAATCAATACGTTCTGACCTTTCGACTCGGTTATTTACATATGTTGTTCATCGGCCAACAAGACAAGATTTTTATGAATAAACGCTGAGTTAGTAGCTAATTGTTTTTTTTAAATATTTTAATGAGGTAGTAAGTTGAACAATTATTTATCTGAATCTATTTTTTATTAAAAAATATAAATTAATAATTAATGTACGTGGTGCATGTTGAAATCATATGCGGGATTTTATGTGTTGATTTGGAAATAACACTATGATATACAAATATTGAAGCACCATATGTTTTAAGCTTTGAAACTGTTAGCATGAAAACTGTGCTGCTGAGGCAAAGCAGAGAATACGCCAAACCTGTTTATGGTGGATTAACTCCAGTTCAACAATAGTATCCCTGCCAGGTCAACACTTGACCTTTCAGTATTTATTAATGGCTGACCCTTTTGATACCCAGTGGTAATACTCTCTGTGTTTAGGCAATGAATAACGATAGAATCCACATTCCCAAACATTTTTTTTTCCCACTGACTCCATATTCCGAGTCAGTCCACATTTGGGTGTTTTTATTGAATTAAAAGTGAAAAAGCCCAAAGTTATAAAATCAACACGTGATGGTACAACTACAACTGTAGTTGTAGCAAACTCTCTCAGTACAAAATATTTTTATGGAGTTGATTTTGATATTTGGCTGTGAAAGTCGTTTATGTTACACGTGGGAATATTGATAGTAGGATAGCAAAAATTCAATTTGTGTTGGTGTACAGTAGATGTTTTATGTTTTTTCTGTGTTAAAAAAGAATTTGTGTTTGTTACTTAAAAGTACAATGGGCTTTTGTGACGATACAAATCAAAGAATTACACATCAGCAACTGATATTATGTACCTTAGAAAGTTTTACACTACTAGATATATAGGCCTATATAAATGTTTTTCTTGTTTGTAGATAATGGGGCAGTATGTACTGCATGCAGAAAACGCAAGATTGCAGATCTTATTCGAATGTACTGAATATCTTCTACATATTCATTATAGTTTTTTTATCTTTTTGGGATTGATTTGGGAATAATATTAGATTAGACTAGAATTTGCAGCCAGAAAATATTGCGGTTTTTGTAGGTTTATATAGTACAGTGTCTTGATTGGATGGATACATGATTCCAACAGCTCGTGATTAATCATCCTAGCTCGATCCTTGATGCATTCAACTCGCTTCCAAATATTTGTGTGCCGGAGTGTGGAGAGATGAAATATTTAAGTTAAGCTATTTGTACAGTGTGATTTGAGCACCCGATGCAGAGGCCTAGCCCTACATCATCTGATCACTAAAGCACTAATAGTAGGCAGAACACTAGTAGGTCATCACTAAGGGATGGCGTTCAAAATTGTCTCATCCCATCGCATTTGCTATTTATTTTAAGGCCGTTTCAGTTGTCTACGTTATGGGATACACATTTTACATCTGTCTAGCTGTATATTGATTTTAAGTTTTTGAAAAAAGAATTTAACAATTATTTGGATTTATTAGGTGGTAAACTAATTTTTTTTTTTTTAATATATGGTGCTCACTTGCTGTTTAGTGGTTTCTTAAAAAAATATACAGTATTTCATGGTTAATAGTTGGAATAACTCAATGCGTATATTCGTACCGTATGCATATAATAATGCAAGGAAATAGCTGATTAGGAATTAATAATTTATCAAGGTGGTTGCGCAGTAATCAATAAAATTGGACAGTAGAATAATATCATTACCGTAAGAAATATTGTCAAGAAAATAATGTATATTTATAAAGTTATCAACTTATTTAGCGATTATATTATATACAGTACACCGGTTTGTAAAGAATATCTAATCAAAATAAAATTCCAATTAAAATAACGCATAATGATTAATATAATGATAATAATAGTACTGTTTATTTATGTAATTTATTCACTGATCATATTTAGTGATATGCAGTAACATCTAGTGTAAAAAATTCCGAAACCATAAAAAAAAATCTGAAATTTAAAAAAAACTGTATTAAATATATCCAGTCACATTTTGTTTGTAAATCGCTAATGTATATAAAAGGTCTGCGTTTTTTAGTCACCGTTATTTTATTTATCAATTGTAATATAATTTATAATCATTAAGAGGGGTATATTTTAAAAGAATTAAATTTGTGTGTAGGTCTGCAGTAAGCGTTTAAATGTTTTGTTATAATTCTTCTCACTTAACCATTATATTTTGCATCTTATGTATTCCATGCAAGTGAAATAGTAAGTCACTTTAAAATTAAAATAAAAACTTGACGTTTTTGTTCTCCCTTTTTTATTTATATTCGTTATTAGGATACGCACTTGGTACTATATCATTTGTTCCTGTATACTTTAGATTTGTCTACACTTAGGACAGTTTTAATATCTTTGTATTATTTGCGGATCAACCGTTTTATCAACCAACAATAGGGTGCCTGTACAAACGTAGAATCAAGTTTAAAGAAATGCTTGTAATCCCTGAATAAATTATATCCTTTCATAAACACTCCTTTATATTTAGGGATCACCTGAAAACCAGCACTGCCGTTTAATTCAATGCACAGCGTATAAATTTAAAGACGGAATTTTCTTAGGTTGTGAATCGTGGATCCTATAAGCATTATATATTGAAATTTTTCCAACTATAAAAGAGAACCACTGAGTATTATTACAAACTAAATTAAAGTTTACCGTAAACATAAAACTTAACAATATATGGAGAAAGTTGCCTATATTAGTACTTGCAGGTGTCTGCTTATATATGAGAATTTTTAAGTATTATCGCATTGTGCACGATTGACATTTATCACGAAAACCTTTTTTCCGCTTTATAAAATGAATTTTTGTTTATTTTCCGAGTGCATTTTGATGAGGATCATAAATACGTTACTAATATTACAAATACTTGTCGATTAAAAAAATGGCGTTGCAATTCGAATATTTGGCTTTTTGTCAAGAGGAAAGAATCTTATTTTTGAAAAAAGAACAATTTTGTTTCCGTGGTAAATTCTACAGTTTTTATGCTTTACGGATTCCATGGACCGGAGCGCTATCATTTTCACTCCCCTCGTCCCAAAGTGGTAGACTCTGTTCACTGAGCTGTGAGAGCCCACCAAACAGTCTGTAATTTGATATGCATGGCTGAGCTGCTTATGCGCCAGTGGATTCTTGGCTGTGATTGGCTGATCTTCAATAGGTTCATTGTGTGAGGCATTCACGAGGCGTGTTGTTGACTTGATAAAGGTTATTTTCAGTGCCAAACCAGACGTAGTGCACAACAAGCCCAGCCACATTTCCTCCCTTTGCTCTTTGAAGCAGATTTTGGCCATTTTGAAGCCTGTGTATATCTCCGTCATTTTGACTTCGCAACAGTTTGTAAGCCTGAACCGATGTCGTGTTGAGGTAATATTTGCCATGCCTTATGTCACTTCTCATGCTAACGTATTAATTAATATCATGTGCACTACTATTTACGTATCGTATAGAGCTGATAATCATTATATTTTGCGCATTGCATTAGAAAACCGTTTTTTTTAAAGTGAATTACGTAACAATATTTAGGATAGGTTTGCGCCGTATTTTAAACAGGTCTGTTATTTTTACCAAGTGTTACATTGTCATATGTGCTTTTGTAAATGACTCACCAGATTTTTCAGAAGAAATTGAGTCGTAGATTGATAAGATATGTGTGTGTAAGAGGTGAATGTATTAATGAAGCAAAATTTGTTAAGTGGCATCTTATGTACTCCTTGAAAAATTAGTGAATCACTTGCATTACATATGGTAGACCTAATTAAGCATTGATGCCGGAAGTTTTTCCATTTCTAAGGCTTTATTTTTTCATGTCACCGTGTAATATGCCTGTTATTTGTTTAGGAGATGAGTAACAATTTTAATGGTTGTAAATGAAAACAATTTTGGAGCTAAAGCTTTTCCTCAATAAACAGCTCAGTACAAGAACTGATGTCTTCAGTTTCTTAGCATGCGACCCACCTTTGATCAAGCTTGGTTTTTTGCCCGCTTTGAAGCATTTCGTAGCTAATTTCCTAATACTAGGTATATGTTGTGGAAGCTTTGCTGTTTCCTTGCTCAGTGCTATTTCAAGGATTTCTAAACCAAGGATTAAATGTTTATTGTGCATTGATATTTAAAAAAAAGTTATCTGAAGATGATTATCGTATTGTCAACACTGTAGGTCTCAGAGCTCAAACATGTTAATTGGGGTGTAAACAATAGTCTGTTGTTTTGGGATTTTTTTTCACATGGTGACTCTTTGATTCTAATGCCAATACGTTCGAATTTTATTAGCATTGTATTGGTAGGTATCATGGAGTGTTTGGTTGGTCTCAGCATTGGTTTGGGCATTTTGAAATGTGTGGTTGTCTGCAGTTTCTTAACCAAATGCAATTTGAACATGTAACAAGAGATTTTCGTAGAAGTAGAATCCTCAGGAAGAGATTATATTCAAGGGACCACATTTGAAAAAATTCTAAAAAAACAATTCTGGTATTACAGATGGGAATGATGAGGGACCACCTTGGAAATTTTGGGCATCGCATTTTTTAATCCACAAAAATTAGCTGCCTAAAATTTATCGCTTCGTATGTTATTTACACAGTTAACGTATTGCTAAAATTGGATTTGGATTTATATTAAATTTACAAGCGTTTTTTGTTGTAAGAATATTTCACAATTCCTGTTTTTTTTTAACCAAGTGAATGCGTTTTCTCGTTTCTTACAGTTATGCTTTACAACATATTGAATTTATGGTGTGTATGTGGACTTGGGGAATTTAGCGTATACAAGCATATGCAGATTTCTTGGTTAATAAAAAAGATAATTAATGGTGCTATGTTCTTATTAACAGTGACGATTATATCATTGATTCAACGGGTGGTGTACGATTGGTTTCACTTAGGGGTAATTATTTGCGGACAGTGTTAAGGAAATGTGTGAAATCAGTTTTCTATAGAAACGTTAAAACCCTGGAAAGAATAGATTAGTAAAAATTAGCTGATTTGCCAACCAGTTTCAACTGACAGAACAATTAGTGTGAAAGATACGCTGGTAATTCTTGTTACTGCAATAGGGCAGCTGTTAAGGGGTGATTTTCTTCCACATATTTTTTGCTCAAAAATATTTAAATATCAACCAGTCTTCTTATAAACACTAAATTTTCTATGCTAATTTTCTGTTTTTGTTTAGCCATTACCGTATAATTAATTCAGGGTAAATTAGAATATGTTTTTTACATCGGGGAAAATATTAATATTATTGTAAACTCTTTTAATTAATATGAGCATTTCAACTAAAATTTCTTATAAATTGATTAGTGAATATTTTTCCATGCGTACAAAATTTTTGCTGATACCATATTATAATTAATTCAGTTTCCAGTGATGCGCATATTACTCGCCAATGATGAAGATTTTGGTGATGAATATTTACAGTGAATGTACATCATTAAACTTATTGTTGCTGTTTAGTCTACTTTGGCCCCATTCGTTATCATTCATATGGCCTCCAAAGGCCTGCTTCATTATTTTAATGAAATACCGTTTCAATCCATTCTGAACTCAATAAGTTTTTTTCTTTACTAGAGTTTGCATCTAGTGGTTTGTTGATTTGTTCCTTCCTACTCTGCTTAGGACTAATCAACAACAGCGTAATCACATGCTTCGGTATTTCTAGAAAGTTGTAAATAAGGTGGGTAAATTTTCACGACAAGAACATTTGTTGTAATCTTGCAAAGTTCCACAAGTAAATTGATATTTAATAATAATAATAAATATTTAATATATTAGATTCTGGTTTTTCTCCCAGTTTATATTTTATTTTGTAACTGAATAGCTGTCTTGTCTACATTTGCATTCACGTGTGAAGAATTTGGAAAGCATCCTCCTTTTTTTTAACGTATTGATAAATAATTTGAGAATTAATGGTTGACTGGGTTTTATCCCTCAGAGGAGGTGTTTTGTCGTGCCACGTCAAACAACGGACATAGTTTCCTATAGAACGAGCAATTGAATGCATGGCATCAAATTCTGATCTACTTTAAACTAAAGGTTAAATCCTTCTACTTTAGTTTCATAACGGAGAATAAAATGACAAAGGAATTACAGTCTACACAGTGTGTAGTTCTGGCAAAGATTGTTATTTGCCGTTTAGGGGCAACTGAATAAGTATAAGTAGTAGTTTAGAACGTTTTCATAAAAAAAAAATGTAATACGCATTAACAACAGTTAAAGAATTACTGAAATAGTAGAACTACTCTATTTAAAACATTTCGTTAGAATTATACTGTACATAGAAAAAGTAAAGTACGGTAAACAACACATTTTAACCAGTATTGTTTCAAAACAAGTTTAATATTCATTTAAAGACGGTGCTATTGAAAAAAATTGGCAGAATTTCTTGTATTAAGAGGGTACAGTTCAATAATTATGCAATACCGTGAAAGAAATAATGGTATAAAAACTAACTGGAATTGTGCACAAAAGTAATTCTAGTAATTCTATTTTAGTAATTAGTGCTAAAATTGATTTTTCATTTTCTTACAGTATTTAAAATGATAAAAATTATCTATAATCATAGATCTGTACATTGTTTAATTGATATAATATATAAATCATCAAAGGTACATACAGTGTTTAATAAGGACATGATGGAACATCGTAGGCTACTCTGTCTACAGGGTAGCCTACGATGTTCCATCATGTCCTTATTAAACACTGTATA